AAAAATAATTAAGGAAAGTAAAAAAAAAAAAAAAAAAAGTCTGAGGTGTTGTATCTGTGCAGCTGTGACTTAGCAAAATTTGAGCAAGAGGGGGGAAGGGGGAGTTAAATCACTGACCTTGGACCATTCTAATATAATTGTATCCCAATTCCTTTTTTATAAACGGAGGAGGATGGGTTTAGGCAGTCTGTAGGATGGCAGATTAGATAGAAATCATAAAAAGCTTTATTTTTAGCAGAGTAATTGGCGCAAGTGTCATTTGGGAATGAGTGATGATAAATGCAGTACATGAAACTCAGGCAAATCCTTTCCTAATTGCTAAATTCTGTGTTCCAGTGGGATTTTGGAGCTTACTAAGAATTTTGGGATGTTCGACATCCCCGTGTGTCCCAGATTTCAAAGCACCCAGTAATGGGAGGTTGCAGCTGCACATAAGAGCCCAGCAGCATGCAGGTGCTTGTCTTGCATTCATCTTTCCATAGAAGGGAGTAGTACAGATCAGGGTCCTGCAAAAAAAAGACCTTTGCTTCATACCAAGGTTTCTTTAAGTTTATTTAAGGGAAAAGACTGCTTTTAAAATAAATAGGCAGTTGATAGGCTTGAGGTCTGAGCCACGTATCTGAAACAAATTTCAACCAGTTTGAAGTGGAGAAGGCTGAGGAATTGCAGAGCATCAAGACAGGTGGAAGGAAGCAACTCACATGCTCTGACTGACACTCCCTCAGAGCCTGCATCTAAAAGAGGGAAAAGAGTAGGGGGAGGAGGGAAGGGCACTGTCAGCCCTAGGGTGCGTATAAAAATAGCCCTGGCCCTTATACATAAATGTTCCTCACTGAGCTTAGTCATTTGTACTTCCTTTAGGCCTGTGCATATGGAGCATCTATATACGCGTGTGATGGCTGCTGAGTTTTTTTTCTGACAACAGCATTGCTATATACTTGAGTACATTATCAGCTTTGCTTAACAAATGATTAAAGAGAAGCCCTAAGCTGATAAAAAAAAAATTTGATCTTCTGGTCACTGTAGCAGCTGAATGTCCAGTGATGGATTTAATGTTGTTTACAACAGTTGAATTTCTGTGTGAATATCCATTAATGGTATTCAGTTTAAACTGTAGAGGAATGCATAGAATCAGATCAGATTTATAAATAAAAACCAACCTACCTTTTGTCCAGTAGGTTTAAGAAATCAAAGTAGTAAGCAATAAGTGGAAGAGCCTTATAGCTTGTTTTTGACAGTGTCTTAAAGCTGTAAAACAGTGGTAGTAACTTCAATAATTTTTTTATTTTTATTCATCTAATGTTGTGATATATTTTACTGTCCATTTAAAACCAAATATAATATTCTAGTTATGGTATTTCCTTTCCTATCTCCTGTTCTAATGCACAGCTAAACAGTAAGTACATTTTTCACTTGTAGCATGGAAGTAACAGACCTAAGGACCGTATGTAAATTCACCATGTTTTTCTGTATCTGGAAGTGGTAAGGCTACAAAATTATTGGGAACACATTTATCTCTCAGGGGCAAACATATTTACTTAAATCACTTTACAAAGATTATTTTAAGGAGTGTTTTTCTTCTTGTGCCCTCAGGTGCTGCAAAATCCAGTCCAGCTTCTAAACCAGGGTCCACACCTTCTCGTCCATCATCAGCAAAAAAAGCCACACCCAGCAGCTCAGTGTCCAAATCAGATAAAGATTTGGAAACACAAGTCATACAGCTTAGTGAACAGGTAAGCTTGTTTCAGCCCCAAAATGTAGGCACACTAGCACTGGTATTGTCACACCAGTGCATGGTACTCAAGATTATGATAACACTTCAGGTTTTAATCTGGATGATAGCCACATGGTAGTTCCAAAGGAGCAAAAGACTAAAATAGCTCATCTGAGGACAACAATTTATCATTAAAAATTATGAAGATAACAGATGACTGAAGGATGGCCAATACTGCACTCATAAGGGTTATTCTGAGTTAAACTACTAAATCTTACTGCAGTGCAAAAACTTTCTTGAAGATGTTAAACCTAAATATATATGCTTCTCTGTCTTAAAGGAAGACATTGAAATCTGAGAAGGATGTGGCTTAATTAATCTATAGACCAGAATCCTCCTGATCCAAGTAAGAATAAGATTAGATACTTATTAACAAAGGGGACTTAATTCTGATTTCTACTACAGAACCTTTACAGCACGCTTATGTTATATGAGGCTTTTAACAGGCATATAGGGCATCTACTTCAAGACCTCTTTATGTCACCACAGTGATGTAATGAGTCCTTAGTGAAAATCTAAATGAAAATGTGAATTTCTAGTTGGGGGAAATCTGAATTTCTAGTTGGGGGGCGGGGAGGGAATTCTTAAGGCTCTCAGCCTACCTGCTTCACAGTATGAATAATTTTTTTCAACTGTGATCAGAAGGAAACATATATTCTGGCCCTGAAACACAACAGGGCAGGTGTTTAGGAACTTTATGCCTTTTATAATGTCTGACACTGACACCTGTGAATCAGATTGATTGGACCACTGTTGGGTTCTTCCACTACACTGTCTCATATACATTATTTTGCCTCTGCAAATGATCGGGATTCTTTGGAGCATGAAAGCCCATTTTCCGGCTGCTGCTCCATCTTGGCTTCTGGTATTACTGACTTTGAATTTTAGTGACAGAATTTCACATTTTGGTATGTGGTTACTTTCCATTTCTTGCTAATACAGAATCTAGGACATCTCTGTGCATTATTGAAACAGACTACAGATGATGTGTGTGTTTGAGGGGAACCCAGTGTAATGTTTCATTACATGTGTCCAATTCCTTGAGGCAGAGGTAGTGTATCCATTTGAGCAGTGCCAAGCACAATGGGCCCTAAATTATGATTGGACCCTTCGATTGTTACTGTAAAAAGTAAAATAAAGTACTGTAAAAATTGTTACTGAAAGTAGTAAAAAATAAGTATAGAATTAACTGATCTGTAAGTTTTCTCTTCTAGGCTACTGTATGCAGGGAAAATGAAGAATAGGACTCGCACTTATGCACTATATGTGTGATTTCCAGATATTTGAACTAAATAATGAAATTTGATTAGGATCCCACATGTGACCTGACTTTTTTTTTCCCCCTTACCTCTAAGAGTTTCTAGCAGCGTCTCTTGACATTAGTGGTAACTGAGTGTTCAGCAGTTTTGATTTTAAAGTTTCTACTCAGATGTTAAGATCTTAAACACATTGCTGCTTAAGTCACTGTCCTATTTGGTATGGACATATTTGTTAACAAATGTCTATATAGATAAAGACCCCGTAGACCATACACAGATTAGTAATTTTGAGGGGAGCCAGTGTGGATTATTTTAAATTTATTTTGATATACGTAGAGAAAGTAGTAGTTACCATCCAGATGACAACCTTGCATCAAACTATTTTTGAGGAGATCATGATTTTTCTGCTAACACAGTTCTTTTAATATAGACTTTATTTGTCTGGCACCTCACTCTGTGCTTATAAGACCTAGTGTATATTGTGCACATAGCACTCAGTTCCAGGCCAGGAAATCTCTGCTTCAAGGAGCTTTGAAGGTATGTTCATGTTGCCGCCAGTTAGAGTACAGTCAATATATGTGTGTGGGCGTGTGTCTAGAAAAGCCTACAACAATTTCCCTCATACCCCTTCAGATTCTCAAGAAGCAAAGGCTACCCTTAATCCCTTTACATACCTAGTTCACAACCAGCAAATTAGTCAATGAGCAAAATTTCAAGTTGCAGCAAAGGAAGTTTAGGTTAGATATTTGGAAAAAAACTTTCTTACTAGGAGGGTGGTAAAACACTGGAACAGGTTACCCAGAGAGGTTATAGACTCTCCATCCTTGGAGGATTTTAAGACCCAGCTAATTTTCTATGATTTCCACATTCCTTTGTGGACGCAAAATATCGTGGGATATGTTTTATATGCAGAATATTGGAGATAGTTTTTAAGCCTGTGTGTGTCTTGCAGACTGAAAAAAAGATTGAGACCTTTGATGTATTACATTAGGCATACAGTGTAAATTGGAAGATATTAATTGCTGAGACTGTCTGCATTTTTTTTATATAACCATAGTGTCACTTAGTGAGAAGCATTCACATTAAATATAGCAAGCTCACTTTGTTTTCATGATGAACAATTAACATTATCAGAAACTATTAAATTAGAAGCATCTCTTAAAATGGTCCAAGTGATTAGAGTCTGAGAAGAGCAAATATTGTGACTGTCGATAGGCAACCTTATGAGTCTGGATTGTGGCTAATCTCTGTTTTGGTTGTGTGATCTGATGAGTATTCTATCTATGTAGCATCAGCAGAAAGTCCACTAATAAAAACTTTTAGTTTAAACTTGTGCATCAGAGAGGGGCACTGCTATTTGACAAACTAAAACACAGAAATTAACATGCCATGCCTTGATACTTGTTTAGTCATCTTTTATCTAAAAACATAAAGTGAGGGTGGTAGCATGCAGATTCCTGTCACTGCAGGCTTAGAGGACGGGGGTTGGATATCATTTTAGAAAGCTGTATGTGACTGGCTTCTTGGAACGTTTACTCTGTGATTTTACAGGCTTAATTTGCTATATGCATGTATAGGCTAGGTTAGTAGCAAGCCTGCTAGGAAGCACAAAAGAAATGTGAAACTATGGAGTCATACAAAACACCTCCTGGCAAACAGATCAAGAGAGTGAGACAAGACCTGAGCTATTGGCTCTGAAGGAGCCTTAGGAAATCAACTGTGTAACTCTTGACTGAAACTTAAAAATGGCTTGGAACAGAGTAAGAGGTCTGGAAACAGTTTTTAAAACTCTTACTCTGTCCAGATGGGAAGCAGTTGTTAGGAAGCTGTTCCCAAAGAACAAGCTGACGCTGACAGACCCCGCAGCTGGGTCTGAAGCATTTTAGCCTCTCTGAGCGTCCATAGGGATAGCAAGCTTTTAGGTAAGAGAGGCTTGTGTATAGATTATTTTAAATAACACACCTTTTTTTAGGCTTTGCTGTTTCTAGCTTTAAGAGTAAAAGGAAGGGACGAGGCTTGAAACCTGATGTCACCTTAGTTTACACCCCCTGTCATGAGAAAAGAGATCAAAAACAGTGTTATCTTGCAAGTTAAGAAACTGGGGAATAAAGAGAATTTTCTAACCTGTCAAATGATTGTTTGGCCTGTTGTTGGGGTATTTTAAGTAGTGGAGGAAAAAACACTGCATTCTAGAAGAGCAGGCAACCAAGAGGGAACTTAAAGCCCCATTGCAATTTGTGGCAGTCGGTATACATTGTTATCCATGTCACAAACTGTCAGTTCAACCTATTTTTACAGGAGAGAAATGTTTTCTGTAAAATTCCTGACCTTAGTACTGATGTTACCTACATCCTGAACTAAATGAAATCTGGGATCCTGGATTTAGCATTTGGCAATATTATCTTTCGTCCTCTACTGCTGCTGTAACATTGCTGCCCCCTCATTAATAACCCAGTAAAGCACCAGCAATCAATCCTAGCCGCAATATATGTAAATCTATCATTATTTACCTGGCTTTTCTCCACGGAATTAATTTTAAAATATTTGAGATCTCTTTTCTAGTTGACGGGAAACGCTTCCTTTCAATAGTCAGAGTGTTCTGTGGGTGCTTAGCTCTAGCAACAAGCGTAGTGGTGAACCAGAGCTGGCAAGATGCAGTTTGAAACAAGATTATCATGCATGAGTATCTGTTCGGAAAGGTGCTCTGAATTTTGAGCAGACCCTGAGGTACTCCACTTGGTGATTAACCACCTGTATACTATGTATGTCAGGACCCCTCCCCCACCATGAATATTTGCTGGCATTTTACTTTAGCATAAGCTCTCTGAAATCCAGTTCCAGTGCAGCAAAAGCATTGAAAAAAAATGCAAGTAGCTGCACAACAGTATTTGAGCTTGAAGTGAAAAATATTTCTGATCCTCTAGGCATTCCCTTACCCAGGCAAAATTATGTCCCTTCTTTCCCTATGGTAAATTTTCTAGTTTTGTGTACATGCTAAATATTTTTGGGAATGGATACATTGTAAGCCAACCAGTGCATCCAACAAATGTAGATGGATTAGGGCAAAGTGGAAATGTTCTCTTTAAGAATTATTGCCATCACAAAAAGCATAGTTCAGTACTCCTGGCAACCTCAACAGAGGTCAGGAAAGTAATCATGAATCCAGAAGTCACCCTGTTATTTTAATTTGCTGTTTCTTTGTGTTGCCTCAAAACAGTAAGTAGAAATGATTCCTCCAGGTGACAGTTGAGGTGCATTGAAGGAGAATTAAAGAAACCTGCATTGCTTTCCCTCCATGCCTCTGTGGGCAGGAATTTGAACAGTATGGCACCTGTATCAAGCACTAATGTCACCTTAAATTTAGAATTTTAGAGTAAGGTTGCTGGAAAGTCCCATTTTGGATGGTGATTAAGTTTTGTTTACAGCGCATTTTGCAGATGGCACTCCATGATTCAGTTATTGGAACTGGTGTCTTTTACCAACAGGTACATACATTAAAACTTGCACTTGAAGGCGTGGAGAAGGAAAGGGACTTCTACTTCGGAAAATTAAGGGAGATTGAACTTCTCTGCCAAGAACATGGGCAGGAAAATAACGACCTTGTCCAACGGCTAATGGAAGTCCTTTATGCTTCAGAAGAACATGTAAGTTCAAGATATTCTGATGTTGGATCAAAATCTGTATGTAGGTCACCATTCATACTGATGCCAGAAACTGTCACAGTTTTCGTTGCATAAATGGTAATACAGTAAAATAAAATGTTGCATTTAGAAACCAGACTGCTTTTTGCTGTTTATGAATAGACTAAAGGATCTGGTAGCTTTTTATTTAAGTTGTATAGGTTTTATACTCCCTAATTTCGAAGAATTAATCTGAAATAGAGGGGGAAGTGATAAAGCATAGCATAGTGTAAGTCTAGAGGGAGTCCTAATTAATGAACAATATTAATTTGTTATATACATGTTGTGTTGAGAGACTTGCAGACAGGCATACTGTACTCACTATACTACTATTTTTAGTGCAAGGAACAGACATGCATTTTTTAGTATTTTCATCCTGTTGCTATAAGCAAAATTCTTCAATGTACAAACCCCAATAAACCTCTGCCCTTTTCAGTCTCCCAGTTTTTCAGAAATGTCTTGTCAGCAAGGTTAAGCAAGTATCTCACTTGCATCCTAGACATAGTACTATAGACACTTAATAGAGCAAGAAGAAGAGATCTGACAGGGAGGGTACTGGCTGAATTCCTCAGATACATTCAGGGGTGATGATTCAATAGGGATTTAACTGAACTACTGTTCATGTCAGCTAAATCCCTATGTGCGCTGCTCTGAAAATTGACCCCTTAGTCTTCAGTGGACTATAGCTTTGGTTCCAGAATGTATTAACATTAGCCTAATCTCTCAGTAACAACAAGGTGCCCTGGTGTTTTACCTATTGACAAAAGATATATTTTAGGGAAGTTGTGCTTAGGTAAGATTATTCAGTCATTAGAATTAGGGCTATACAAACTACTAACTTGTGCAGGTTTGGAAATATTATTGGAAGCTTAAATTGTACTTACAATCTTGATGGAAGCACTCAAAACTGGCAAGAAGGAATGAGGCAACAGGGTTCCTTTGTAGGTAAAAAGGAAAATCTCTGACCAGACACATGAGTACAGACAAAAAGGACTATGTGTATATAATGATTGAAGGAAATGTCTGCTGTATTCAAGAACAGAGATTTGTAAAGGAAAGTCAAAGAAATCCCCTCTCCCCCAGCTTCCCCACCATGTTTGTCTATTTGTTGGCTTAAACATTAAGTGACTTCCCAGTCAAGGAATGCATTTCTTGCAGCATTTTTTTTTCATATAATGTTCATTATTGGCAAAACACATTACAACATGCATCTTACCTCAGTCCACAGCTCTGAGATCCTTTATCTGGTTCCCTTTCTCCCTCCTTACTGGAAATGTCACAAATAAATTGCTCCTCTTTGACATTTACCATATGCAACATGCTCTCACCCAAAGTCTGTTCCAGCCAGACTCCATGTGTATTGTCTCAACACTAAAGCCCTAGTTTCCCACATCTGGATACAAAAATCTTTCACTGAGGACGTTTCTATTGAGTTACTCATTTCCTGCTATGGAAGAATAAGATCCCTGGTTTTATTGAACATCTTTCTTTGTTAGCAGAATGATGCTCAGTAGCAAGGCACAAGTGCCTTGGCACTTGGAGTCAGGGATCCAGGCTTTCCTTTGATCATAGGTGAGGGAAAGCAGCATCTCTTGCCTATTCTTTCCTTCTTTATTTTCTCCTTTTTTCCTTTACTTGCCTTGTCCCTGAGTTCTGGTTTTTATTTTTCTGTCCTTGTAACCAATCTGTGTAGCTCTCAGTCTCTGAATAGTTTGTAGGTTAATCCCATGGTAATAGCAGTTAGGTTTTCTTAAGCCCCAAATGGAAAATAGTCCCAACTTCCACAGCCACAAGGAGCTCCATTGTTTCTGCTAATGAGTTCTTGCTAATCCACCTTTGACTTTTAACCTCTGGTCCAGAAAGCCCCAAACAACTAATGAGAGAGGTAAAGGCAGGGGCTGTCAGTAAAGCAAAGTAAGGTTAACTTCATGTTACAAACATCACCAACATTCTGGCTATCCTGCTCTACTGAGAAAAAGATTATAGGTAGAACACATTGCACAAATCATTCCTGACAAAGGCCATGTGCTTGAAATACTGCTGACTTCAGTTTTTTCAGTTCATTTCCTCAATAACTTTCTAGGATCGTTCGTATGCTCTGGTTCAGTCTAAAGATAATGTGGTGGGCATCCCCTGTAGGTTTGATAAAGATCACGTTCTGTTTGCACATAGCAGCTGCTCTTGCTCAGGGACAGATTCCAGTTTACACTAATTGTGTCTCTTTTATTAAACTTGAGAAAAATTATGAATTGGTAGCTCTCAGGACTGGAGCTCATCTCTCACAACAGTTAATGGACCATCTATGGAAATGCGTAACCAAAACATAATGGCTGCATCCAGGCAAGTGTGGCCATGAAGTATGCATCTGCAGCGCCACATACTACTACACATTCAGCTGTTCTCCATGCTGCAAGGGAGCAGCATGGCGGGGTGGGGGGTTGACCCCTGAATATCCAAGGGTCAAAAAATCCCATGCTAAAAAAAGCAGAGCAGTGCATGCAGGGGCAGCGCATGCCACTCAGAACTAGAGCCTGGCCAGCCAGAGCCACCCTCCAGGTGCCAGCAAGGCTCTGAGCGAGAGGATTGCTGCTGCTTCTACTGCTACCTGGGGGAACCTGCTGTGTGCCAGAGGGCACGTGGCACAGGCATTCCCTGGGAACAATTAGAGGCAGCACAAGGTATGCCACTGCTAGTTGTCCCTAGGGAACCAAACATCCACACTCATGTGGAGGTGGCCAATGTGTTTTTAATCTGTGCTATAGGTTTTCTACATGAAGTGATTTAGAATGCTTAGATAAAGGGCATCCTCTTAAATCCAGTAGGTTTTATGGAGCAATTTCTACAGAATATATTATTTGAGAAACCTATCAGAGTCATCTCTAAATTCTTTAAGAATAAGCTATAAGGAACTTCAGGCACTTTTATTCAGAATCATGGTTTGAGGCCTTCCCCAGCACACACAAAATATAAGCTTGTGCTTGCCCTTTAAGAACAGTATGAATGTATCTGTTCATAAATGCTTTTTGGAAAACTTGCACATGTGGATGACTCCCAGAGAAGTTACTTATCACAAGTGACCAAATTTTGACTCGCATGAATAGCTTGATTTGGGGTTTGTTTTGTTTTCCTCCAAGGAACCATTCTTAGAGAAGATGGTTTTTACAAATGTAGTCAAATGGAGAAAGCTGAGATGGTTATCCGGTACATCTGGATTGCCTGTTGCGGGGAATCCACTCCTTAAGGTCTTTACAAATCTTGAACCCTTAAAATCACATCTATGGCAATGGGCTGTTACATATTATGCTAAAAGCCATAGTGTAATATATAATGAGGCCATTCCTCCTATGGGACCCTCAAGTGTTAAGCTGCAATTCTGCTGACTGACATGGGACATCTGCCTGAAAATTGTTTTCATGTGGTTTCGTAAATGATGGATGATGCACTTTGGATTTTGCCTACTCTTCCCGTATCTGGATACAGATTAACATTGCAAATCTTGCACAAAATGTAAAAGGCCCTGCTCCCCCCTGCCCCCCCCCCTTTATATATTATTGGCAGAAGGGAACCACTGTTTATTGCATAACTGTTCTGAATTATCCTCAGAAGCTTTATATTCTCTCTCCTCTATTTTCCTTACCCTTCCTTCTCTCCATACGTGCATGTACAGCTTCTAACTTTTAAGATATTAGCGATGTCATTTCTAGAGAATGGTGTTTACACGAACCATGTCTAACGAAAATTGCCTGGAGACAGCAGATCCTGCAGATGTATTGATTTTAATAAGACATTGCTGAGCTGCCATTCAAGTGCTTTTCCTCTCAGTCATATCCAGCTGGATATCACTAATCTAGGGCAGAGGCACCAGCTATGTAAGATCCTTTCAGTAAAATCACCTTCTGTAATGATGATGGAATGCACTGTGCATAACTATTAATACAATGAGAGTTGATGGGAACATGGAAGGTGTGAGTTAGGATTTAGCTCCAGAGTTCAAGTACCTCCTAAACCCATCAAAAATATCTGTTCAGGGATACCTAAATTATAAAAACACTAAACTTAATATCTACAATTTAAGGAACACTGCTGATCCTGTAAGATCTGAGATCAATCTTCCTGATAAGAGGGTATTGTTTGAAGCATCCTTGTAAGAAGCTGTATATAATGAATTTTAACTATATGGCATCAATGATAGTCTGCAGTAAGTTGTGTCAGAATTTTGTCTGTGATACAAACCACTGGATTCAATAAATAACAATTTCCAGATCAGGAAAAGATAGACTTTTACTTGATGAATCTTGAAGCACATTTTACAGACTAAATAAATGGATGAAGTTGAAGTATCTTTTAAAACTTTTATTTGGATTAGTAGATTCATGAGTGATCACTTATGGCTGGGGTTGTCAACCAGAGGTATGTGTATCCCTGGGGGTACTTGGACCAGTCCTAGGGGGTACGCCTGGGTGGGCAGGGACAGAGCTTCTACCAGGAGCAGGGCCAGGGCAGGAAGGTGCAGAGAGCACTGGAAACCCAGGAGGGCTTGGGAAAGCTTGGGCTTGGTGGCCTTCCAGTGCCCTGTGCACCATCTCCACCACCTTCTCTAGCTGCCAGCACACCCAGCCACCCTCCTACCACCTTCTTGCACTGCCCCAGGG